ACTTGCTCATTATATGTATACCACTTCTAGTTGAAGAGGTTTATATGTGAAAATGAATTCTCTCAAAAGAGTGCCATGCTGTGCATGTGTGTCACATCCAACAAATGACCAGCCCGACATGCCAAGGGCATAGGGATCTCAGGTCGTTTGTCAGCACCGCATTCGGTGCGAAAAAGGCTGGCCCAGGAACTGAGCACGAAGCAGGATGTTTTAAATGGGATGCAGGAAGACACACGACTGCAGTTCCCAAGAGTGACATGGAAAAATCTTCACCTACTTACACCCCTGCAGGGTGTGGCGACTTGGGGTGTGAACATCCGTGGCAAAAACTCCCTTCTTTTTGAAATCGCAGCGTTACAAAAGGAGACTGTTGCCCTCCCAGCACAAGGTTGAGGTCATAGCCCCATCTTATTGTAGTGAGGCACGTCGGCACATGGCACACCTGGCGTGTGCAAAGCAAGTGCATGCATAATTCCAGGATTTCCAAGTCTCCCATCCTTTGTTTGTCGGTATCATTGCCAAGCAAATCATTGGGCACATGTCGTCTTTCACTCAGGAGCATGATGGATGCGAGATTTTCGGCGTAGGGGTTAGCTGACCAATTCGGCACATGTTACTCAACTAATGGTGGTATCGCGAAACATCTTAGGTTGATGTTCCCCCCGCTTGTCTTGGGATGTCCCACTGCGGCTGACCTCGGCAAGGTACCAAAGGACTGCAGCTAGGCTGAGGCTGAGGCGACATGGTGACCTGAAAGTGGCATTAAAAAACTAAAGGGTGACATGTTCAGAGCATGAAGAAGCTCTTCAAAAAGATGAAGAGAGAGAAGGAGGAGAGAAGCAGGATCAATGCATCCCCGCATTCTAAGGGGTGAAATGCGTGGTGATTGGGGCTAAGGCTCCCAAGAAGACTACGCATACTAAAGGTAAGGAAAAGAACAAAACACTAAAGGCAAACAAGGCTTATTAGCTGGTATCGATTGGTATCGCTTGCTTGTTGTGCAGAAATGCATCAAACTCGCAATTGGACATGCTTAGTTTCTGGAAGTCAGGTTTCTGAAGCACGATCGGCTCTGCGGCTTGTTCTACAAAAAAGAAAGTGTACCTGTCAATTAAGGCCGAACACATGATTCGTCTTGGCTCATCAAAGCAGCCACCTGCCACGTCAGCCATATAAATTGCATGACAACAGGTCTTGATGCAGTCTGAAATCATGCCAGGTGCACCAGCATTGTGAACTCTTCAATTTGCACCATTGGGCAAAACCGAGATGAACAGAACATGTTTCATTGGTATCGACACTTTCCAAGTTCAGTGGCTTTGGCCCTGAAGTGTGTGGGGATGAGCTCCATCAACCGTTGGCCCCTCAAGGACGCATTGCTTGGCAGAGAATTGCCCCCCCAAAATGCCAGGCCCTTGCTGTTTGTAAACCTTGTCCTGTACCCCTTGATTCGTTGGGAATGAGAAACTGGCACGGCCAATACATTGCCCTCTGAAGGAGCACAATCAGCACAACGCAGAGATCTCCAGATGTTCAACCGCGACGGCCAGTTACACCTTCCAGCTCCCCGACTGCGCATCCTACTTGCTCAGAGGTACCGTGGACATACGTACGGGCCACGTCACATGGTGTACCAAAGCGGTATCCGTCGAGTTTACATCTACCGCCGCTGTGAGTACGAAAGCCACGAGGTGAGCCTAGTTTGGCATCCCAAATTGTGGTACCTCACCAGGTTTTGGAATGTTGAAAGTCATCCGGTTCTGCACCTCACCTCTGGTCAAGCCAAACGTTCAACCGTTCAACCCCGTAGGCGAGGACGCAGGGCCCATCCTCTTTTTCATTCAAGTGCTACCCCATGAGGTCTGACGGCAGAGTCGATGGCTGCGCCGGCTGCGCCGGCGCCGGCGCGGCAAAGAGGTCGTCCAAGAGGTCTGGCGCGCTCCACCGCGGGGGCCGCGGCGCATCGCACCGAGCGGCATGCAGGCGTGGGACCGGACGGATGATGGAAGGTGCAAATGTTCCGAACGGATTCGGTGGTGTGGAGGTGGCAGAAGCTCCTTCTTCCGATGATATAGTGGGTTCTTAGTGGGTTTGGGCAAATCTTCCCAAGACATTGGTCGCCCCGGCAGTGGCTTCGGCTTCGCACCCAGAATCTCCAATCTACTAGCGAGGGCCTCTCCAACCTACTAGCTTCTTGCTATACTAGTAGCTTCCTGCTACTAGCCTGCTCCCCTCCAAAAAAAACCGCACCAATCCCCTACATCGCCTCCTGTGGCTGTCTGTGCGACAGTGACCTGGCTGCCACCGCCACCCAGAAGGTCAGTGTCCACCGGCGCTGCCTGGCACGTCGGACTCGGTGCGGCTGTCAGACAGTCGGTTTGGAGGCATTGCTTCTTCTCTCAGGTCCGTGACGAGGAGGAAAAAAGAATGCCTTGGAACAACTCCGGGACCAATATATGTCACAACATGCAACAACCAACAATATATATATATATTATGTAACAATCCGTTTGTGTGTGTGTGTGTGTTTTTTTTAATGTCGATTTCAACCTCCTCTCAGGGTGAGGTGGCTTGCGGCTTCCGTGAGCTCACGGAGGCTCCGCCACATCCGATGCGTGGCGCCTGTGGAACGGCTGCGCCGCCATTGACCTGGCAGGCTACGGCTACGTCTACGGCTACCTACTCGGCGACTCGTTTTGTATTGCTGGTATTGTTCGTGGGGAGTTGCCTAGGAAGTGATATTGAAAGGCCAAAATGAAATGGAAGAAATACATCAACGAGCCAAGAAGAATTGAGATCACCCTACGACGTGTTGTCCTTCTTTTCCATCGCACACCTCGCCTGTGATGGTTTGGCGAAGGATGCTGGCACTTCCCCACCCTGGCCAGGTCAACCACGCGCATGTCTTCGCTTCAACGACTCCAAAGATGTAGGCAAATCATGGCAAGCCCATCACAAAACCACCCTCCCCAAAGGTGTTCTTTTGTTACAGTTGGCATATTAATTTAGTTCATATAGTAAGCACTTATAACATATATTAATAATAGTATTAATAGTATATATATATATATATCATGACGTATTTTTCTTTCACATCCTCCGTTGCCTCCGCCCGATGGGCCGTCCCCAACCCCCCCGGCGGAGGCCGTGCGGCGTGACGTGGAGGTGGGGGCGCCTCGAGGGGTGGGGGTGGCATCTTGGTCGCCACAAAAGGGCTACCGGACACCTGAAGACGCGGCGGCTAGAGACGGGGCGTCCAGGTTCGCGGACGCGGACGCGTCGAGCTGAGCTTGGAGATGCAGGACATCTGGGATGGTTTTTGGGGGGTGCGATGTCGCAAAAGTCATCAGTACACAAGAGATCACAAGAGTACGAACACAAAAATACACACTCGTGGCAAAGCGGCTTTGGGAGAAAATCAGCTGTGATGGACATGATGACTAGTAGTAACAAGAAGCTATTAGTAACAAGTGCATCGCTACTAGGAACAAGTGCCTTACTAGTAGTAACAAGAAGCTAACGTTGTTTTCCCGATGAACCCCACCTGGATGAACTTGGAAGCCGGCTGTTTGTACACAGTGCTCAACCTGGACTCGACTCTGCGGTCGCTGAACATTTTGGTGGATGTCCCCTTTTGAATCCTTTTCCTTTCTTCATCTTTCTTCCTTTCCTTGCTATCCTTCATTCCTTCCTCCATTTTCTTCCTCTCTGACTCCTCTCCTCCCCCGCTCACTCTCTCACTCTCTCTCTCTCTCTCATGATTGCTGAGCAAACGTCACCTTGTCACATGTGAATTGTAGTGGCTGATCCGATTTGAAGTGCTTCGCATCAACCGGTTCTACATACTTCGGATCAAACATGTCTTTGGCTGCGGCAAAACACGAGCGGAGGGAGAGAGGGAGGGAAAGCGAAACATGTACAAACTGCACCCAGAGGCATAGAGGAAAGAAGAATTCTATGAAGGGTTCCTGTGTTACAAGTGCCCCAACTGCCAAGTGTAAAGACTAGTTGTCTGACTATGAGCTTTGCCTCACCAAATATCAGCTTTGCCACATGAAAAACACACCATCAGACCGCGACGCGGTCACTTCCATTCGCGCCAATCCCGGTGCCGGGACCGGACCATCGTTGGGACCGGACCGCCGCCCGGGTAGCTCCGCCAGCTCCGCGGCAGGCCGTTCCGCCTGTCGGCCTGCTGTTCGGGCCAAGGAACGAATTGAACTCCTCGAAGACACGGTCTTTGAGGTCGGCATCCATCTGCCATGTGCGGTGGATTGTGCTCCGTCACGGTCGTGCGTCGTCCCGTCGACCGTCTTAGAGCTTCGATCTATACAGAGCCAGAGAAAAACAAATGACTCAGCAATATCGGGAGTCATTGAAACAAAACAACAACAGATAGTCACATAGCGCTTCTTCTCCCACTTGAACCACGACTTAGTAACTTCATGCCCCTTCAGGAAATTGACATGAGTTCTTGAGACACGAGCTCTTCAGCCAGACTTGACCAAGTCCGGCTGTGCCTCCTCCTGGAACTCTTCGACCACTTCCTTTGGAGCGCAGATCACTCTGCGCGCCTCTTCTGGGGAAACCTGCAGTAACCTGCATCGCTCGCGAAAGGGACAGCTAGCTGAGAAGCATTCCAAACTCAGACCGCGGGCACTACAGTTCAAATTCAACCCAGGTTGCATCCACATGCACACTAATCCCTGAACTGAACAAGTCCGAGCATGTCTCCGGTGCCTGTAGTACAGAAGGGCTCTATCCCGAACATCCGGATGCGTGCAATCCTGGATGGCCTAGCAGTGGTTGGATTGAAGAAGAACAAGACCATCATCAAACGGAGATTTCAGCACAAAGGAGCACGGAAGAAAACTGAACATCAACTATCGCATATATCAACATTTAAGCCAACCATAAAATTGCTAATGAGGGAAACACAGTTTTTTTCCTGTTTGTTTCACAATTTCCCACCTCTTGAAGAAGCCGTCCCAGCATCTTCTGCACCTCCGGCGGCCGACAAAAAAAGAGCTTCACCTCAGCGTTCAGCGAACGCGCTTCCGCTCCGTCGCGACATCAGCGTACGTTGCGTTGTCCGAAATGTGTGGAACAAAGAAGCCATGCAGCAGCCATGCATTCAAAAAGGTGTCTCACTGGCTTCAAGCCACAAAAAAACACAAAAGGAATAGCGGTTCAGAGGTCAGACCCTCCCAAATGTGATTTCATCTCACGTCAGATGACAGTGATTGCTTTCTTCAAAGTGACCTAATTCCGAGTACCTATCAATAAACACTCCCCCATAAAAAAACACAACGTCCAAAGCCCTAAATTCGGCTTATATTTGTTTTTAAATTACCGCCCTTTCAAGCCACTACTAAACTACCAACATGGTCGATTTGGGGGGTAGTTTCTTCAATTAGGTTCCCCCAAAACTCCCTCGTGACACGCCGCGTTTGCACCAGCCAGTTTTCCTTCCTCCAATGGCACGGACTCACGCAAACGCACTTGCCTCCGAGGTCGTGCAAAACCGCATGGCACAGCGACATCACCTTTCGAAAGCCTTGGTTGTTAGCCAGTATTCTAATAAAAGTTTTTGTAGGGGAAAAGGAAGACCCTTCGATCTGGAAGTTTTTTGAATTTTTGATAGGAGTTTAATAAAGGATTTTATATAAAACTTTTCTGGATGACTTTTTGGTTTTGAAGCTCTTCCCAGGTGACCCTATTTTGGACCCCCCGATTTCAGGGACCCTCTATTAGAAAAAATGCGACCGAGTCTTTTTTTAATAGGGGGGGGGGCCGTGTTTATTAATAGGTGGATTATTTTGATATCCCTGTTTGAGGTCACGAACAGGCCTGTAAAAGGTCACTGGATGGCACTCCAAAGAGGTCACTTTGAAGAAGCATGGTGATGAGCTTTCTTCCGAGGAAGTGTTGAGATCCCGAACGGCTGCCGTGAGCATCTCCAGCTGCACAGCACCGCTCGACTCCTCGGAAAGAGTTCGGTCGAACACGTGGCATGTCAATGGCCTCCACCCTACTAGCGCCTCCAACCTAATAGCAAAAGGAACCAACCTAAGCGCTGGCCTCCAACCTAAGAGCGATGGCCTCGAACCTTAACAGCGTTGTGATTCATCGCTTCGTTCCTCTTCGTTCGTGTCCTCCATGAAGCCATCAATCATGGGCTCCAGCAAGTACGGCGCGTCCTGCGACGAGGACGTTCCTCTTCTTTTCCTTTGACCGTCCTCGGACACCATCCTCGACGTCAGTCCGCAGGAATGGTCGACACTCGACACCGTCCTCGATGAGCAGGCCGTACTCGCCCAGAATCCACAGCAAGGCCTGGGGAACGTTCCAGAGGAGCGTTCCTTCTCCGATCGGATTCCACCGGGAAGGTGGAGAGAAACCGATACGGAAAAACGAGTTCCATCACCGTCTTCTGTCTTCGACTGCCATGCGCAACAGTTCCATCTACAGTTCCTCTTACTTTCCAGTTAAATAGCATCAAAGGGTCACATGTCAAGCTTCAACCTGGTCGATGCTTTGGTTCATCCTTATTTTGAGTCAAGAGGCACTCTTGCCATCAGGCTCGCTGACAATTTTTAGGCATTTCCTGAGCACAGCAAAGGATTGGTCAAGAAACTGAACATGAATGAACTGCCATGGTTGTCCAGATCGTGAGCTGATCGCAGTTCGACAGACCAAAACCGTCGCGATGTGTCACGTCGCGACGTCGCGACCGTCATCGTCGCTCGCGACGTCATCGTGTGGAGTCGACGACGTGTGATGTGAGTCACACGACGCGTGGAGTCGACCCGCTGGGTGCCCCGTTCTGCACTGCCCCCGAGGCTTGCTGAAACTGCTCGGGATACCTCGAGTTTCAGCGGTGGAGACGGAGCGGAGAAGGTGTTCGGAGACGGAGACGGAGGTTCGGTCAAAGCCAGCGAAGGTCGGGAGTGAAAGATCCCAGTGGACTGATTTGCCACTGTTGTATGGTTTTACCAGGTTTTCAGGGGTTGGACGTGCCATGTAGGTCAATCATCAATCCATACATGGATTGGGATGGGATGGGCTTTCAGGTCTTCTCTGTCTTCCACTTTTTGGCGTTTTTATCGCCCAATCCAACATCTCGAAGCATCAGCATCGCTTCCAAAGTCGGCAACTGAGATTCCAACTTCCGTACCAGGTCTTTCATGACCACTGCTGCTTCTGTACAAACCTGACGGTCGCGCGTCGCGCCACAGCGGGGGGAACTGCCACACTTGCTCGGTCCCTCGGTCCCACGTCCCGATCCGACGTGGCCAAGCGATTCGCCGCGCCGGGCGTCAGCCGCACGGAACTGGGCGTCTCCGGCGTAATCGATATCCAACTCCAACAAGTTGGACAAAGAGCTCACGATCATCTCCGAAGTCGAAGGCACATGAACCTGGGGCAATTTTGGGCAGGTCTCTGGTCGAAAGCTTCTCAAACCAAAGGGGTCGGGAAAAAGGAAAAAGGGCCGATTTCGTGGGAAACTACGGTCGCAGCAGGAGAATCTCCACAGAAAGAGCATGGTGATCCATTTTGCACCAAATGAGGCTCCCAAGAGGCTTGTTGGGGCTCCCTCAACGCCCAAAAACCGTTCAGTCCACTTGCTCAAACCTATATTGCTTACTTTGGGACTCAAATCTTTGAGAAATCTAAAAGTCATCTCCAAATGTGCTCAAAAGTGGTCAAAAAACATGTCAAAAAACATGTCATTACTCTCATGCTCATTCCGGAGGTGCCGTGGTCAATCTCTCCTGATCTCCGTACTCCTCACCCGTCACTGCGGCTCCGCTGAGCTCCCCCGGCCGCGATGGTGCCGATGGCGCGGATGGCCCGGCGCGCGATCTCCACGTCCACCTCGGTGACGTACCTGGCGGGGGCGCGCGATCTCCGCGTCGCGCCGATAGCGTTCACCAAAACGAGGTTCCAGTTGTCGAGGGTTAACAACTAAAGGTTCAACAAACGAGTCTGATGTCTCAAGATGTCGAAGTTGAACACGCAGGGTGATCGTGATCCGTGAGCAACTGCCGTTGTCAGACAGAATCCTCCTTTCTTCCATGTACTGCATCTGTCAGATAGAAGCAACCTTCGGAAGCCAAACTCGAACCAAACTCGAACCCTATAGCTCCTCGCTCCCAGCTGCGGACGTCCGCATGCTACTAGAGTCCATGGCCGTCGGCGTCACTCGCTGAGCTCCATGACGATGTGCTCGGCACCTCGGTCGAAGCGAACAAAGGAAACCATGACAAAGACCGGAGGTGTCCTTTCTGGGACTGTGAAGGAGGATGCAGGCTAAATACTGCAGTTTGGCGTTTGGGAATCCCAATCGATGTGGGTTTGGGTGTCCTTTGGGACCTTCCACACTCTGTCCAAAGGCTCACCAATCAGTGCGCTGGGCTATGGTCCTTTCTCTTAAGATCTCTTAAGAGGTCTTGGGGGTCGTTCATTCTTTTAGTACACAGCCACATGGAGAGGCTGAAAAGGCTGGAACTTGAGCAGCTTGTGTTGAGATCCGGGCTGTTGAAGTCTGCCAGCATGGTGAGGATGTCAATCTTCACTTGCTTAATGTACCTGCCACGACATCAGCCAGTCCGACACATGTTCACGCGACTTCTGCTCCGGCTTCTGCTGCTTCGATCGCTCAATATCAGCGCACGAGGGCTCGTTGTAGCGACAGAAGAATTGCTTGAAATCCCCTTGGAAGACCTGGTCACATCGCTCTGCTCACGTCACCGACATGACCAACGCCCCCCTTCAAACCACATGACCGACTCACCAGAAAGACCCGTCGAGTTGTGGTTCACAAGGACGACGAACGGGTGATCATTCAGCAGGCACCCCTCCTTTTTGCCACACATGTGTCAGAGCGACCGGAATCGCAAAGTCCCTGTGTGGTAATTTCTGTTGACGCTGGCAGCAGGTAAGCAGCAGGTAAGCAGTTGTCATGCTGTCTGGTGATTGCAGCAGCTGCAAAATCGCTGTAGCGGCATTTCAAACCATGGAGCAGCATGAGTACAGGCTTTATACCCGACTCTGCAGCTAATCTCCAAAATTCAACACAGCAACTCACGACCTGTTGTTGCCTGATGTTGGTCAGATCTTGCACCGGCTCGGAGCAAATGTTCCATAGAAGGTCTGAAAGCAACATTCCACAATGAAGTATATACATTTACAACATATTATGTTTTCCACGTTGGACAAATGCCGATGTTGCTTCTCAATTGAGAAACATGTTTCCTTCGCCTGTCTTCCAAACGTTCAGTGTCATCTGTCTCCAGACCTGCCAATATGGAGCCGCGAACCTTCTGTAAATTGCAGCCGTGAACCCTCTGTTCAATTGGAAAATCCACGAAAATCCTCACAGCCTGGCTTGCTTGGGGTATCCCTTGATGGCCGTGCGTACCGCCAAGTCAGCCATGATCTCCTCACTTCCTCCATAGACCTCAAGCCGGCGACGGGCTGCCATGATCTCCTCCGACCGGCACCCCCGTTTGGTTCTCCCCACAGGTGAACCTTTTGGGGCGCAGACCTGTGGAGGCCAATTGCGGAAAAAAGAGGATGACAGAGGCCTTTTTCGCGGCTGAGTGAGAGTGAGTTGTGACGGCCTCTTGGGCATCGGCATCTATCCGTCTTGATACGGACAGTGACGGCCCAGAGAGACCCGCTTTGGACCATGTTTGGACGGTTGCTGAACCAAAGCGAAAGAGAACAAACACCGCGAACAACGCGCCGCTCAACATGCCGTTGCCGGTGGCTTGTTCACTGGAAGACCCAGCTGTCCACTTCCACCACCCATCACCTCCAACCTAATAGTGATGGCCTCTAGGTTACTAGAAGCGATGCCCTTGTGAATACAGTAGCTTCTATAGCTACTATAGCTATAGTAGTCGTATGTAGTAGTGCCCCTTGTTACTTGTAGCGATGCCCTTGTTACTACTAGTGGCCTCCAACCTACTCAGGTGCAGCGAAGCGGCTGCGGGGATCTTGTACATGCGAGAGAAGACCTCCACCACACGTCCCATCCCAGTCTGCGTGACGCCTCGGCCGCCCAGCACCTGCGTGCAGCCGGCTTTCGTTCACACACGGCTCCGCGTCCGCGGTCCGGGTCCGGACGTCATCCAGTCATCCAGCAGCAAAGCCTCATTATGAGGTCCAAATCGCCATGAAGCATCCCCCTTGGCTTCGTTGCTAAAGCAAGGCTTAATCCTCCAGCTATAAGGTTCTATCTATATGACAAACAGTTTACATTTGTACATAAGGAGCGTTGAGGTTGGCTCTGCCATATTCACATGGAGGGAAAAGTCATTGATGCTGAGCCGTCAGCCCCCATCACTCCAAGAGTGGCTCTTTGGTCGAATCGTTTGATACATGATAAATCCAAAGTGCTTTCGCTCCAAAAAACGGTCACCGTTTTCAACACCGCTGTCGCTTCTCCCAAGTTTGGTCCCCGCGCGGTCGCTCGCACGGTCGCTTCGGTCGAAGCAACACCATCGACGCCGCGCGAGGTGTTGGATCCCCACCAGGTGGTTCATGCGGGAGCAAACCACCTCTAGTAGCTTCTTGTTACTACTAGTAAGGCCCTTGTTACTAGAAGCG